CCATCTGGGGTACCTAATGGTGAGTGATGATGAAGCCATATATGGTAAATTGTCTTAGCGTAACAAAATCCTATTCACTCGTGCCTTAAAGACATCCAGATTGTAGTCGGAGCGAAAGACAGACACCCGCAAGTTATTCCACTCTTTAGTGGTAAGTCCTGATGGTAAGTAGCTACATCAGTCCATGAACACTTGCAACCAACTTTAAAAACACATTGATAAAATTCCGACATTTATAAGTACTGTTTAGAAATGAATTCAAAATTACTGACTAATTATAATATATCTTTTAACACTCCGTAGGGGACATTTTTATTTATCAACCAAATGTTGGCCCCACTTGAGATGGATTTCCCACTGATGATGACGTCAGACGAGTGCTTAAGTGTGGGAACAGGCAGAAAAAGGAATTTCAGATCGGAAGTTCATCGGTCCGATGTATAAATAAATACTCAGTAACTGGTGAGAGTGTAGTCAAATGTATAATGCTACCAGGATTTGTTAAATGCATATATATATTTAGATTTGAGGCGGAGAGAAGACCATTCACATTTGACACCTTTTACTGCTAATTGACATTTCGTGGTTCTTAATTATACTTCTTAAATCTTTTACAATTAAACATTTTAGTAGTAGATAAACAGAAGTAGATTTAACATTGGGTGCGTTTGACAGAAAAAAGCGCTAGCAAGCGCTTGTAAGCAAAATGGCGATCGTAAGCGGTAAGCGCTGTCAAATCGTAAGTAGCTATTATCCTCTAGGACACGAAGTTAGCTTTAACCGGGGAACCTAACCTAATTTATATATATTCATTTTAAAAACTTACCAATCATGATTTTTTAATAACATGTACCTATGTTTATTCATGTCATTATATTACTTAAAACTAATATTGCACAAAATAACTTATAAACTCTACTTCAAAACAAACAAAAAAAAATAAGCAAAATGGCGGATTTTGTCAGCGCTACTGAAGTAGCAGTCGTGTCCTGGCCGAAAACTATTTCAGCGCTTGCAAGCGCTTGCTAGCGCTTTTTCTGCCAAACGCACCCATTAATTACCTAAAACTTATTACTATTTTATCGCGTTTAACTTTAATACACATTTTTCTGATTCCCGACGTTTGGAGCACCCATAGTTACGGTGCGGCCTGAATAGGTGTCGCCGAGAGTTCAGTTATCACGCGATAGAATCAGTAAAATTAGTTTTACTGGATGTAATAAATACCTAAGTAGGTAAGTAGTAGTAATCATCTAAAAGTTGAATTAATAAAAAATAAGCACGATGTCAGTAGTAATCATTTATACTAATAATTTAAAGGCTGATTAAAAATGCGGAAGGTACTTTTCATAAAACGTTGAAATATGTTTGCAATTAATTGAATTTGGGCTATACTCAAACGCCTCTAAATGTCATTAACCCTTTATTTTATATATTGCAAAAAAGAACACTCGTTTGATGACCGGTATAAAATGAAGCACATGTGTCAAAAGTTGCTCACTACATCTGTTATTATGAAATTCCCGAAATAGACTCAACGGCTTCCGTACATTAATTGTTTACTCATACTCATGGGAAAGACGGCGCACACCACCTCTCATATCGTATGGTAATACTTAAAAGTTAATTTCCAATTCTTACACACCAATACTACACGCAACTTATAGCAAAGGAACCGGTAGCAGAAATTTTTAATAGATTTCATCGTTTGGCAGATGGGTGATAAATCTACTTTTTTAATGTTAGTAATGCTACGTTAAATACAAAAATTATTGTAGTATAACATTAATGACAAATTTCTCCAGACCGAATTTCGGTCACATCGTGGAGTCTCAACGGTGACTAGCCATCTGAGCAGGACAGGATTATAGTGCACTTCGTATTTTCTCACTCTCGTAGTCCGATGGAACGGCAATTCATCACTACCAGGGAGAGATCCGCGCAGAATCAAATTTACGTGCGGTACCTCGTGATCAGCATTCGCTTTTAAGAACCAACGTAGCATAACTTAACAAGCGAAACAAGCACACAAATAACAAGCATTAAAATAAGTAATTGCAATATTATTTGGTGGTTTGGTCATGTGGAAAGAAGGAATGAGGAAAGAGTAAGAAAGCAAATTTATGTTGCAAAAGTGAACGGCAGAGTCGGAAAGGGACTCCTTGGCGAAAGTTTATCGACCAAATTGGCGATATATTGTAAATGGAACAAATTAGGAGCACCCTTAACCGACGAGCATGTGTGCGTAGGTATATGGATGTGGAGGAGGCTACAGAGGTGTGTCAGGATCCGTACTAAATGAAAGTCTGTATTCTCAGCCTACCCCTCTGTGTGACAGGTGTGAGTGCTTATGTTACGTTATGTTAATATTATTAATTTAAAAAAATCTAGTATACATTATCAGTGTTTTTTAAATCACGCGGGACGCTTCGTCAAGCTTCACCCTCGTCACTATGGTTAAACACTGGCCCACCCGACTTTCCCTGTATCTGTTCGCATTTCATCATTCATCCTGTATAATATCGCGTCATTTAGGTTTAAGATAATTTTTTCGATTACTCAAAAAATATCCAAGTTTTTTTTTAGATAATAATAGTCCAGATCACTCTTGGCATTGCTTTCTATCTGTTCGTGAAGTTGCATCGCTATCGTTTCAGTCATTCCGGAGGTTAGCACAGACGTACCGACTGACAGATAAACAATATAAACGGTTATTCGTGTCTTAATGACATGTAAATGTCTCATTGAGCTCAATAATAGGCAGTTGTTCCGCGTCTACAAACATACTCTTCAATTTACGTAATATTACGTACGACGATTAAATATAAATCTACGGAAACTATTACTATCAAAAAACATACCAAAAAACAACACTAACTCCCTAACTATTAAGCGCATAAAAGATTATACAATCTAATATTCATAAACCGAGTCTTTCCGTTTATAACCAATCGATGTTTATATTCTTATTAAAATGCCTTGTGTATTAATTTGTATACAATTGTGACAAGTAGAAAGTGTAAAAAGTTTAAAAAGTTTATTGGATAATGGAAATGTCTCAGGCCTTAAGGTCAATGTAATTTAGTGTTGTCATAGCGCGCTAGTGGCTGGGTTGAAGGTTAAAATTGCTTCGAATTGAACCTATTAAATAAATTATACATTTAACTCAAGTTGAATGATATTTAATTAATAAAATACCGATATACGTTAATGAAAGCTCTTTTGGACTTCATCACTCATTTCATTTTAATAATACTAACTGATCCGCGTAGCTTCATTCCCATTCCGGTCTTAAATCCGGGTAAAAGCAGTATTTTAATTTTGTTTCCTAAAATATTTCGAAAAAAAAAATTACAACAAAGCAATACACGTTTTAAATATACTCGTATACTAAGCAACTATTTGTTGGAAGCACTACCCTCGAAGTTGTTGACGAGTTGACGAGTATGTTTACGATGTCTGCGATGTTTACCTAGGACTAATTGTCCAACTAAAAATAGTTTTTTGCCATTGCGGGGTATTCTTACTCAAGTAACGCTGCTGCCTATAACCTGAATTTTGTTTTTTAGCTTTGACTCTTGTACCGCCATCAAAATAGAAATTATGAGAAAGGTAAGGGTTTAATAAAACTTGCCGAAAGGAATCTACGAGTATGCCTCGAGACAAGTAACTGGGATGTGTTCAACCTAGAGTTAGCTATCGTTATGTGTTATGAGTTATGTAAGATGTATTTATTTATTTATATTCCAAAATATATATCCACAAATACCAGAACAATGCCTGACTGAACCTGACTAAGCCTTATCCGACGCAACACTAATGCCATAAGCTTGATCTTTTTAATAAAAAAATAGCTTTGCTTGGATTCGAACAGAAGACCGTCACAGTAGTAGGACACTATGATTACTAAGCCACACGGTTGTTTGATTTATATACACGGAGGAGAAAAAGGGCGTCGATGGATTTAATGCCAGGCGCCCGTTAATTTTTTTCACATCTCATAAACAGTGCACATGTGGCGCGCGTGGGAACGGGCCGGGGCTAATGAAGGTAATGAGATTGCGGACTTGCTAATCGACGGCTGGCTGTATGGGCCGCTGTATGAGCCCACCGATGGGTGAGGGCTTACATCAAGCAATTAGAGCCTTTTGGATTGCATTAGTTGCCCTTCTGGAATCGTTGTACGACCCTTTAATTACTATCTGAAGCCAAATATTTAAACAAATATATGACTTTTTGTAAGCGTTATCCAGGTTACTACTGCCAAGATCAGGTTTCTAGTCACACGGCTCCGTTTTGCCCAGTGCCCAGTTACAGACTGGTGTCTTTCCTAGTAATTACGAATGGACAATAATAATTTTACCTATAAATATATCTATATATATATTATATATATAAAGTTGATACGTCTATTAGTGATCGTGTAGTTTCTGAACAATTTATAGCCCGGTCAATCTAGACATTCGGTGATTTATGTATCATCATATCATTTACAACAAGCTGATAATTGGTAAAATTGTTCAAAATATAATAATAAATAAAATGTGAAGTACCATTCCTGTGTATGGAAATTTTTTATTCAAGGTCAAAGGTCAAAAATGAGTCCGCAATTTTGGCAAAACGGTACGTTTTATCATAAAAGTACTCCAGAGAAAAGTTGTAGATCATAAAATTATCTACAAAAAATGTTTCAACACTTTTTTTCTTACGAGCCACCGTTTCGGAGATATTACGATTCAAAAAGTTGTAAAAGTTGTAAACGTCATATATAATATGCACACGTTTCCAAACCACCTATGTGGTAGGTACTTTTTAATGTGGTTTCCCCAGTAGGCCTATTCCACGAGTCAGTTATGATCATTTCGTCATTGGCCTTGACGAAAACTTGCTCAAGTCTGCGGAAGTATATATTTTTAAAAGCTTAGGATGAGACTCTTTTAATTTTTCTAATCTGATTGTATAAGAATCAGCTGATCGTAGCCTTTTTACTATTTGTCCAGGGTACCGCGGCCAGAACTGCGAGATAGACATCGACGACTGCCCGGGCAACCTCTGTCAGAACGGAGCAACGTGCGTGGACGGACTCAACTCGTACACCTGCGAATGTCCGCCCACTTTTACTGGTTCACTCTGCGAGACCGACGTCGACGAATGCGCACTCAGGTGAGTTACAGAAAAGAAGGCACTGACCATGTATTACAGAAAGTTAGTACATAACATAACACAAATACTCACGACTGCCACCCAGAGGGGTAGGCAGAGACTATGGACTTCCATTTGGTACAATCCAGACAGACCTCTCTCGTCTCCTTTACATCCATTTACCTACGCATACTTGCTGGTCGTTTAAGGGTACTCTTAATCTGGCCCGTCTTCAATATATCCCGGATTTGGTCGACAATGTTGTGTAATTTGATTTTTGTTCTTTACTTATGTATTAAGATATAACATAAAGCTTACAATATCGGTAAATATGACAGGTAAAAAACTGACAGTATAAAAAGGAATTACCCGCCTAATTATATAACAAACGAGGTAATGATACTTACATCTGTATTCGATAGCAGTCTTAACAATATGTTCACGCCGTCATTGGTATATCCAGTGCTAATTACATAATAACTTGACGAGAAGTCATCGGCCTCTTGATTTTTAAATAATAAGCGCTTAGCGATTTTATTTTGTTTCCATTTAATGTCTACCACAGATTAAAAAAAACTCAGATATCTATTAAATTTTACTGTCATGCTATGATATTTGATATAAACACCTCATTCATCAAATCATTATGTTCTTTATCTATATGCAAAGCGTTTTTTTCTATTTCTTTAATACATAATTTAAAGACATAAGCACATCTATTACATCAAACAATTTTTATCGAACAACTTGATTTGAATAGCTTAGCTTAGAAATAGTTCCATACGTAGCTACTCGTAAAGGAGAGAGCGTAAATCCTATGAGAATAGATATTTTACACGTTACCTACTCACGTTGCAATTGTTTCATGGCTGTAGTACGAAACTGTTACACAGTTGGACTACCAGGCTCTCAAATAATAGATATAATCGTAAAATAGCAGCATAATGCTGCTGTATTACGTATGGTGAGTGTAGAGAAACGGAGAACCTATTTACTGGTAATGAGGCATTATGTCTTAGTTTTCAGGATTGACAACGCATCTGCATTTTTATCTTTTCCTAAGATAGATGTAAATGTCTGTTTGTCACAGTATCCCCTTACCATCAGGTCGACCATGTGCTCGTTTGTCACCCTTACTTCTTAAATTAAAAAGAATCACAAAGAAAATGAAGATGATTTGATACTCTCTTTTCCCTATGTCAGATGTCACTAAAATCTCCAATTTGCGGGATTTAAAATACCCACACTGGCGACAGGAAGCTACGCCAGTCTGCGTCGTTTGGTTCTTCGATTGTCAATACGTCGTAACGTTTTCGATTGACAAGCATGGTAAAATTACAATTTTGACTGCATTGAGAGAGGCCTGTTCTTGCATCTTTATCGGCCAGAAATAGTTCTATCTTTATGGGACTTTTCCTGGCTGATAAAGATAGAGCATTGTTTTAAAGATTCACATTTAATTAAACAACGATTAATAGTTATAGTTATTCAGGGTTATTTTGCAATAACCGGCCAAATTTGCAGAAAATGTCCAGAACAAGTAATATAGGCATATGGTGAAGAAAAATTAATTTAAAAAAATCTCAAACATTCTGTCCTTTTTATATATTTTAATTTCAAAAAATACTTTCGTAAGGGTAGGGTAGGCAAAAACGTTGATGCCCATCACATTCAATTTGGGATAATTTCAAAAAAAAAAATAGAAGCCAATTCTTACCACCTATTAAATAGATGTAAATTTGATTTAAATTACTTTTACTTATTTTATCGCGTTTAATTTATTTAATTTTTAATTTCTGACGTTTCGGGTGCTTTCCAGCACCCATGGTCACGGGGGACTGAGGTGACTGACGTCCCGATGTCAGTGTTAACCCAGAGTACCTTCAGCTTTTTATTTATAATTTATGGTCCGACCTACTCATAATGAAACTTACTGTGTCTTGAAATTTTTCAGTGGTAAGCTTGGGTTTAGTTTTAATTTTATTAATTACAGGGTCCCAAGCATGTTTTTCTTGTTTTATTTTAAAATAGCCTCACGTATCATTCTTGGTAGGAATCGATGTTCTTTCGCGAGGATTTGTGGTCTATTAAATCTGATATAATGGTTGGGGCCGTCTAGGATATGATCACAAAGTCTTAGTTTACTTTATAAATTAAACGAGATAAAATCCGTAACAGTAGATTTAATTAATTATAACTGAAAGTTCACTACGTTCTTCAAAAAGGAAGCCATGCTGCAGATGCTGCAAAAGAAATATATGTTTCGTGCAAATTTCGAAAGGTTTCATACTTCCCGGAGATCGTTTTTTAAGCAGACATTGATAGGAAACCCCTAAGTTATAAGTTGATCCTTATAACAGCTTCAATAAACATTTACGACCCCTTTTTAATTATTTTTAAGCCTTTGTAATATTTATAGTGGTTAAGCATTAAAATCTATGTTATCGATAGCCCATATGCAGTTTCCAGCAGTTCGAATTGAGAGGTGTTTCACAATAATCGCACACTGACAGCTTTAACATTACAGGCATTGAAATAATAAATTACTTGAACCATACATGGTTGTTGCCTTACATTAGTATTCGTAATTATTCGGGGAGTTTTTGTCATTGAATTTAACTATGAGACGCATGAGTAAGTTTCTCTGTCATCATAATTTTTATATTTCTTACTTTACAGCCTATTGTCTATTGCTGAACTAAGGCCTCTCTTATATTCAGCCTCAGTTTCTTTTTTTATAGAATAATGGTGACAAACGAGCGCACAGTCCACATGATTTCATGATGAAATCTAACTTTAACAAAAATCAAAACGCAGATGCGTTGTCACCCCTGAGGACTAAGATGGAATGCCTCGTTTCCAGTAAAAAGGGGTCTCTAGATCTCTACCCTCACCATAAGGAACACAGCAGTATTAAGCTGCTATTTTACGATGATATTCTGCGAGAGCGTGGTCCTTCCTCGGTCGAGCTGACTCATTGCTGCTTCTTACAACAATAACAGGATGTATTGGGATACTGAATATTCTTAAGTAAAGTTGCCTATATACATCCCACTGCTGGGCACAGGCCTCCCCTCATTTCTGAGAGGGGATATTCTTACACCGCCACTAATTTAAAAAAAAAAACTATTTTATATTTATATTTTATAAATATTTGTTTAATCGAGACCAAAAAAGGCGAAACGCTTAACGAATTTTAGAAAAAGGGATGATGAAATATTATAAATTTTGATAAATAAATATAGACATAAACATAGGTTTGATCACTACAGACAAGGAATCTTCAATAAAGAATGCTTTACCAGAGACAGTACCAAAGGCTTTCGATTTACTTGTTTTGGGCTTTTATTTGAAGGTCTTTTATGTCTTTTTAATATTTCGGTCTGTTGGACTCAACCGCCTGCTGCAGACGCTTTTCAAAACGCAATGTAATCACAAAATTGTATCTGATAGTGGGTTCACCAATTATAGATTCTATTTATTGGTAATAAAGCCAAATATTCTGTGAACCGGCCATCATAAAACGCACACATTTCGTTCCTTACACGCTTAACCGCTCCACGTCGTTGTTCAGCTTATTTTACATGTAATTCCTACAACATAAACCAGATCTGTTGATCCAATTTCAGCTGTATTCTAACGAATTAAAGTTGTGAATCGACCTGTGCTTTCTGTCATGGGATAGCGTCATACTATCCGAGCCGTCGGTTCGTAAAACGCAACAGATAATGCGTGCTCGATATCGAGTTACGTCTTAACATGGCGTTTTGTTTTTATTTTGTGCATTACTCCAGCCACCATTGAGACGTAAGTGGTAGGAAGGAGGAATCATTACTTTTTGTCTGGACTGAATGGGGTATAATTTAGTAAGTAGAAGGTACTTTCGATCTAGTGGAAAAACGATAATTGAAAAAAGGCCGTTGTCTCGAACAAAGTTTTTTCAAAAGTGACCTCATAGACTTTAATTCGTTCAAGCATAGACTTATTATGCATAATATAAGGAGTGTATCAAACTGATTTTCTCGAGAGCGGTGCGCAAAACCATTCTCGATGGTCCGGTTACTTTAGACGAGTCCAATGATAAAAAAACGTACACTCCACTACCCCATATCATCCCGTGGGTGTCGTAAGAGGCGACAGAGGGAAACAAATTAGGAGATCATCAGCAGTGTCTTCTTATTAACGACTTAAAATAAAAAAACTGCGGTTGGCAACCCGCTTGCCAACAAAGAATATCCTTACCTTACATCAGGTAGGGTTAGAGTAGAAAATTTGCTTATACTCAACAAATAAGGTTTGATGTAAGTTTTTCTTCTTTTTGGTTATGATCTTAAGACTACAATCGCTTAAAAAGTATTTTCCAGTCCCCAAAAAATGGGACGTGAAAAGATTGCTTCACAGCGTTAGAAATTGTTTCGGCGAAGATATGCGCGCTGTAGTAATTGCATCTAATTGTGAAAACATTTGGACCAATTACCAGTGAGATTTATAACGTGTTGGCATTTCGACTTTTTATATTGAACGCTCCTAAATGATTTTGTTGTTTTTGAGGTCGTTAGGATACGTTCAGACAGTATTGAGTGCTGTTTTAGTAGCAATTGAACCAGCATTCCATTTCTGTAGGATTTTGTTTAAAACTCGTTATAGCGTGTAAAAGTTGTATGTTTCTTTGATTAAAAAAAAGTCGATAAAATCTGCACACATTCGCTGGATTTCTGTTTTCGATCTCGTCGACGAATGAAAGTTCTTGTTCCTTATTAAAAAAATATTGTAACACTTTTAATGTTACGTATTGATTTAATTATAATCGGATACGATTTTATCATATTGTTAAAAACCATCATGCGAGATTTAATGTCATTTTTAAGAAAATAAGTAAATAATTGCCATCCCCTCATAAGATCTAGAATCATAACATCTAGCATTCTAAAATCTAGGGAACAGTATTTTACTATATTCACGATAAAATAAAATCATTACATTATCTTTCAACACATTTAAATAACAACCTAACTAAGAGC